ACCAGCCAACAGTAGTACCACAGGCTACACCAGCCAACAGTAGTACCACAGGCTACACCAGCCAACAGTAGTACCACAGGCTGTGCCTGCCAACCCTGCCACAGGCAGGAGACCAAGATTCCAACACATGGCCAATTGGCAGACATTTTAGTTCTAAACTTTAGCAGTCAATGGTTGAAGAAGGAATACATAGTGAGACTGGACTCAAAGCGAGTCCATACTCTGCAAGACTAGGGGAGAGGGCAGTCAGCAGAGAGGCTCATGGGTAGCGCCCACTCTTCTCCAAGACACAGTTCCAGACAGAGGTGGGGGTGCCCAGGTGTAGACTCGGGGGAGGGTGGTGGGAAGCTTTGTTCTGTACCTGTTTAGGTTTCTGGAGGAGGCGATTATGCAGCCAACACAGGTAAGCAGCACCCAGGCTCAAGGCCCCCCAGCATCGAGGCGCCTCCCCATCTGACCAAGTGCAATCAGCACTGAGGAATACCAACATCTGTCCTGCGCAAGAGCAGGAGATTCTGGGATCTTGATCTTTTAACCAAGAGGGACTGCCATGCTACCATTTAGTAACTAAAGCATCCTTAATTCCAGCAGCATGACGCAGGACCTTTGAGAAAGGCTAAGAAATAAAAAATCAATGACTAGCTCTTTTGTGTGTCCCAGTACAGATAACAGCAGAACATGGGGACAGCGACACAATGTATCTTCCTGTCATACTCCCGCCATTCCACTGTCTTTTGTCACTTGTAGGAGGCACTCAGCCATTACTGGCCGTGCAGGGACAGGCAGAGCACAGGTGGCAGCTGTGAGAGGCTCTCCAGGTCCTCGGCCAGGCTTGCTGACACCCCTCCCTCCTGAGACTAGCCTCAGGGACAGTTTGAGAACGTGTTAAAAGCCACCAAAGTAGTGAGCTGTTTCCTTAATCCAATTCGAAGGCATTTTATGGCAGATTAGACACACCATCAGAATCAGGGAGCCTTTAGTACATAATAGTGATACCCTGGGGCCTGGAAGGATTTTGTATTTTTCACTTAGTCAAGAACCCTACGAAGTCAAATTAACCAAACAATCCTTTATAAACTACCATCAAAATCATGTCTAGCATCGAACCCATTTCTCCCAACTGCCCCTTGCTGCTATCACCCTTAACGAAGGTGATCAGCGCCTCTTACCTGGACATTTACAACATCCCCTCACTGGTCTCCTAGGCCCTGGCTTTAATTTTGCTATGTCCCACTCTCCACCCACAAAGCTGTTCTTGTAAGAATGCGAATCAGCTGGGTGTGGTGGCACACTCAGGAGGCAAGGCAGGTGGGTCTCAGAGGCCAGGCTAGTCCACATGGTGAATTCCAGACCAGCCAGGGCTACATAGTGAGACCTTGTCTCAAACAAACATAAAATGCAATTCAGGTCATGCAACCATCCTCCCTAGAATAAAATCCCAACTCTTTTCCATGGCCTACAAAGCCCTATGGGTTACAGCCCTCACCTGCTATCACTTTGTCCATCGACCACTCCATTCCAGCACCTGAGTTGGCCTGTGAACACATTACAGTGTGGGAGGCCGCTACCACAGGAACTCTAGAACACAATCTAAGCATCTGCCTATTTCTCTCTCACGTCATAGAACAGAAGTAGATGGGCAGTCCAGATAGGTGAGGAGACAAGGCTCCAGGAGCTCCGTCAGGGGCCCAGGTTCCTTCCACCTTTTTGCTCTGCCATCTCTGAGAAGGCTGTCTTCATTTTCTGGGACATGACTTTCCACAGTTGCTGTCTCCTAGGCATGTCCTTGTAAGACTGTTCTCCCTGTGTATTCCACTTATTGACTCAGTTTACCCTTCTATGATGAATTCTGCTTCTTGTTGGTTTCTGACCAAAACAAGATTCATTGCCTACGATATGGATGTCCAATCCTTCCTAACAAGTAGCCTTAGGCCATCCTGTTATTTTCCCCCTTCTCAGGCAAATAATTATATTTGTTTGTTTGTTTTGTGTCTATGTGGTGTTGCAGACAGAACTCAGGCCTCAGGACATGCCAGATAAGGGCTTGGTTGCTGAGCTGCATTTCCAGGCCAAAGCCCCTGAGATTTGACTGGGATTGATTCAAGGTCCTGGGCACAACTCAGCTATTATGGGTTGGCTAATTCTTATCCCAGAACCAAAATATCCATGGCAGCTTGGAATAGTACCACTGTCTGTGTGGCAAGTGTCTGCTTTGTCCTACAGGGCTCAAGGGCAATCAGCATATTATATGACAGTTTCGTTTAGTCTTCCCTTGGTGTCAAAGTGGGCCTCTTCCAAAGCTTTTCCTTTGAGTCTCCTGGCTGTTCTGGGCAGCCCTCACTCACAGAGGAGCCATTTCTTCACTGGACAGTGAATTCACCTGAGACATCCTGTCTTACTGCATGGGGCCTCAGGTGTGGGAATGTCAGCTGCATCCCCAGGCTGAGTCCAGACTCAATGGACTGTTAATTTTCAACAGAGATTCCAATGAGCTAAGGTAATTAACTAGAATCTAGTTAAGCACAGATAGAATAGCAGTGATTAGTATGTCGTCAAGCCAAGAGCTCTGAATGGATTATGTTGTTTAATCCACAACAAGTGCCTCCCATTATTATTTCCAACCTATAGACTCAGGGATGGCTTGAAGTCAGGACACCAGGACCAGTTTAGAGCTAAGTGGCAGAGGCAGGAATTGAACACATTTTTTTTGTGTGTGTAGGGGGGTGCGATTCAAGACAGGGTTTCTCTGTGTAGTGTGTAGCTTTTGCACCTTTCCTGGAACTCACTCTGTAGCCCAGGCTGGCCTCGAACTCACAGAGATCCGCCTGGCTCTGCCTCCCGAGTGCTGGAATTAAAGGCGTGCACCGCCACCAACACCCGGCAGAACACATTTTGTGTGTGTGTGTGTGTGTGTGTGTGTGTGTGTGTGTGTGTGTGTGTGTGTTTGGAGAGCTCGTGCCCTTTATTTCTGTGCTCTCCAGTCTGTGCCACACAAGCTGCCTGTCAAGTCTCATCAATGTCACCGTGGTACACTAACAGGCTGTGAAGAGGAGAAGCCATCTAGCCGTAAAATAAACCAGCCCTGGCACGAAGTCGGAAGTGCTAATGGAGACACAACTGACCGATTTGCTTGAGATCACTGACAGGCTGGAGAGGGGCTCAAAAGGCATTGGTCCTTTGGGAGATGGGGGTAGTTTAGAAAGGCCCCCGTGTATAGCCCAGGACCTGGACCCCAAGGCCTCAAGTGCCCCCCAACAGAAAGCTCACAGCAGGCATTCCCAGTGTTTTGACAGCCAGGGTGATAAACAGTGGTATCGATTTCAGAGAACCATCCCCGGTCCTTAGGCCTTCTCTCCAAACACATGTCCTCACATAGCTCACCCATCAAAGTCAAGAGTGACAGTTCTGCAGCAGATGAGGGCTGGCCAGCCACCAGCTGACTCCCAGGCATGCGCACAGTGAGGAACTGGGGACAACAGGACTTGGGGGAAAGGGAAGGGCTGTTATTATGTGCAAAGTGTCCTTTGTGGGGAGGGAGATGAAAGGGGAAGTTGTCTTGGGCTTGGGCAGAGGGACAAATGGAAGTCCCAAGCCTAGGTTCCTGTCACCACGCTGTTGCGTTCTATTCTCGTGAATCTAGACCAGCCCCGTGGGGCTACTGAGCTCTCAAAACCTAACCGTTCTAAATTGAGACAGGCTGTATACTCAGACGTTTAAAATATACTTCAAAGGCTTTCTACAGGGGGAAAAAAAACCAAACCAGTGGTGCCAAATAATTGCTCCAGTAAATTTTCATTCTGATTACATGTTGAAATGATAATATCTGGGATCTATTCTGTAGAATAAAATATCCAAATTAATTTCACCTGTTTCTTTTTACTTTTTTTTAAATGTGGTTCCTAAAAATTGAAAAATGGAAAACTTGGCTTGAATTATGTTTCTCTTGGACAGTGCTGCTCTAGTGCATCTGAAGTAAAATGATCTACTGACTATTCCAAGTGCAAAACATGCGGACACATCTACATCAAAATACAAATGAGTAAAAACAATAAAGAGGGAAGATTATTTCACTGTGTACTTCCTCTTTTTCTTCTTTCTTTCTTCCTTTCTTTATTTCTCTCTCTCTCTCTCTCTCTCTCTCTCTCTCTCTCTCTTTCTTTCTTTTTTTGAGACAGGGTTTCTTTGTATAGCCCTGTTCTGGAACTTGCTCTGGAGATGAAGCTAGGCTCAGACTCAGCGATCTGCCCGACTCTGCCTCCTGAGTGCTGGGAATTAGAGGCGTGTGCCAGCACACCTGGCTCGCTATGTATCTTCAAAAGGGTTCTTTTGCAAATCTTACACTTACATTAGTATTGTGTGTGTGCGTGATACGTGTATGGGGTCACGAATGCCAGATGTACATGAGGAAGTCAGGACAACTTTGTGTAATCCAACTTTATGTGGGTTCCCGAGATCAAACACAGGTCGCCAGGCTAGCACTTGGGTGAAGACCTCTCACTGGTCCTCAAGAGAACTTATTCTTCTAAAATAGTTTCCATGAACAAAATGGAATAACCATTGGATAAAGTTGACCAAAATGACTTAAGTGAACCTGAAAAATCTTTTTTTTTTTTGGTTTTTCGAGACAGGGTTT